GTAGGATAGATTATTAAGCCCAATTCTTTTTAATGAATATACACTTCCATCGGAGTTTCAATCAAAATGACATACTTATTTCATTATTTATCAATGCGTTCTTGAATGTTTTACAGYATTTTTACTAGTCCTGTCTTCGTCTTAAAAGATATCATTTGCGTCTGGAAAACTGTGCCGAAAAGAAAATAAGGTTTTTTTATTTTTAATTTTTAATTGTGTTTTCTCGTACGAAAAATTAAACAAACGATTATATGCAAAAYTCTTTGACTCCTTAGATTAAAATGTCAAACGTGTCAAGCTGAGGATTCGAGTCTCACTACTGTCATTAGATTAAGATTAATATTAATTAAACTGTAATAGCAGGCAAATACGTAAAGAGAAGCTCTCCAAAATTGTTATGAACAAATGAGTGATTCTGATAAACATGAACCACCAAACATCCACAACAACCACATCGCAATTAAACATTAACCTCTGGGCTGATCTGGACACTGCTGACTTACAGATAGAACCCTGAAACAACCTCTGGGCTGATCTAAGTCAGGGCATGGCTAACTCACAGATAGAACCCTGAAACCTCTGGGCTGATCTAAGTCAGGGTATGGCTAACTCACAGATAGAACCCTGAAACAGCCTCTGGGCTGATCTAAGTCAGGGTATGGCTAACTCACAGATAGAACCCTGAAACAACCTCTGGGCTGATCTAAGTCAGGGTATGGCTAACTCACAGATCGAATCCTGAAACAACCTCTGGGCTGGTCTAAGTCAGGGCATGGCTAACTCACAGATAGAACCCTGTAACAAGCTCTGGGCTGATCTAAGTCAGGGCATGGCTAACTGTCACAGATTGAACCCTGAAACAACCTCTGGGCTGATCTAAGTCAGGGCATGGCCAACTCACAGATCGAACCCTGAAACAACCTCTGGGCTGATTTAAGTCAGGACACGGCGAACTCGCATATCGAATTTGAATTTTGGAGAAGTTTACCTGGAGAAAAACCCACTGTTTTTTTGTTTGTTTGTTTGTTTGTTTTTGTTTTTTTTTCTTGATTTTTTTTTTCTTTCCCTTCTCAGCAATGATATTGCTGAAAATCAAATCAAGAGACAAGCATAATTTTAAACTAATATCGGATATTGTACTCATGTGACAATTTCCGGCATACCTTTTTCGAAAATTATATTTCATTTTATGTCTTATAAATCAAATGTCACGCCCTAATTTTAAATATACCAAAGATCAATTTAATGTACGTTCATTTTGTAGCTTGATCAGAAAGTAAATTTAATAAATTTTTCCAATTTTTTAAAAATTTCCAATGA